ATTCGAAAATGAAGTTTCTTTTCTTTCATAACTTTTTGTCTGAATTTTCGGAGGGATTGGTCGAAACCAAGTCTGCCGGTCGTAAGTAGTATATTCGCTTAGCAACCGTACGATAATAACCACCTATTTTCTTTCGAAATTTGATTCTTTTAAAGAAGGTTTGAACTTTTTTCAAACAAAACTAGCCCACCAAGAGAAAAAAACAAAAAAAAAAACAAGTTGGTCGACCGGGAGTGGTTGTATGAGTTAAAAAATTAACTTTTTTGCTTAAAAATTTTACTCATCTCAAGATGGGTAGAACCAATAAAACTTGTTTTACTAGCCGGCGGCAGATGCGATTAATGACCAACTTTTTGGTTTATTATTTTCTATAATAAACCATTGTGATCGAACAAAAAATTAAAAAACTTAACCTCCTCTCCAAATTTGAGGTTTTACCTTCCAGGATAGGTAGAATTCGAAAAACGAATAAAAAATTTTTTATCCGTCCGACGCCCTCCACGTATTTTATGCGGAACTACTGGACCGATTTATTTCAAATTTGGCTTTAAAATTAGAGATCACCCGAGGATGATCCTTCTTAATCGACATTTCTTGCAAGATGGCGACCGAAAAACCTGCGTTGCTATATACTGCAGCGCCTAAACGAATGTACCGATTTCAATGAAACTTCGCTAAAATCTTATTCTCGATGCCATTTAAATTTATCTATATAACATATTTCAACGAAAAGCAGCTGGAAAAAAAATTACCAAGGATGGTAAAATTAGATTCCGAATAACTCAAACTTTATTGATATTGTATACTAATTTAAAAGTTTATAAAATTTCGTAAAAAAAAATAAAATCGTTAAAATCGGACAACTTGGAGCAAAGATATGGTCTCTAGATGTTTTTATGTTACACTTCAAAGGTTATATCCGTTGTTTTGGTTTTTTGGATGTGTTACTGAAGTAATGCTATTTTTTAAAGCATATTGGTAATGATTTTTAAAAAAAAGATGTTCAGTAAAATAATTGGAATCACTTTTTGTTTATTTTTCTTTGTCACTTGGAAGATAACGTTACTTTAGATGTATAATTGTTTGAAAATAATAAACCATTGTGAAATAATTTGCAGCGTTTTGTTTCTAAATTAGACTAATTGGAAGATGGGTGGAATCTTTTTAAAATAAAAAGAATCCATTCAGGGACCAAAAATAGTATTTTAAAAACTTCCATAGAGAATATTGTTTTTTCTAGACTTTCCATAAATAGCTCAGTACTCAGTGGGGATATTGTTCTGCCGTTTACGTCGGACAGACGGTAAGAAAATTGAAAAGCAGAATTAAAGAACAACTCCCTGGGCCAGGCCGTGCATCACATTTTACGGATCATTTTGGTTTATTATTTTCAATAATGAAACATTGTGATCGACCAAAAAATTCAAGAACATAACCCCCTCTCAAAATTTGAGGTTTCACGTTTCAAGATGCGTAGAATTGGAAAAACGAATAAAAATATTTTTGTTCGTCCGCCGTCCGCCGTACGCCGTCCGCCGTCCGCGCATTTTCTCCGAAACTACTAGACCGATTATTTTCAAATTTTGATATAAAATCAGAGGTCACCCGAGGATGATCCTCCTTCATCGACATTACTCTCCGCCTTTAACTTTCAAAATGGCGGCCGAAAAACCTGCGTTGCTATAGACTGTAGCTCCTAAACGAATGTACAGATTTCAATGAAACTTCGCTAAAGTCATTTTCTCGACGCCCTATAAATTTATCTATATAACATACTTCAACGAAAAGAAGCTGGAAAAAAAGTTACGAGGGATGTTAAAATTAAATTCCGAATAACTCGAGAAGTTTTTACCTTTTTTTTTGTTATTGTATTATGGTTTCTTAAAATTTTATGAAATTTCCTAAAAAAAAAAAAATCGTAAAAATCGGACAATTAGGAGCAAAGATATGGTCTCTGGTTTGTTTTTATGTGTTCTACTCCAAATGTTATATCCTTGGATTGGTTTTTAAATTTTAAATGTGCTACTGAAATAATGCTATTTTTTTTTTAGCATATTACTAATGATTAAAGAAAAACAGTTTAGTCCAATAATTGGAATCACCTTTTGTTTTGTTTTTCTTTGTAACTCGGAAGGTAATGTTACTTTAGATGTATAATTGTTTGGAGATAATAAACCATTGTGAAATCATTTGCAGCGTTTTTAATATTATTCACACCTGCAAAAAAGTCATAGTGTAAAACTGTTGCATACCATTTCAAAAGGGAAAGAATGGACATTGTTTGAAAAATTAGAAATTAAGAAAAGAATTATAAAAATGACAGGTTTCTGCCCTTATAAAATTAGTAGTGGCTAATGAGAACAAGACGTGGGGGTAGGGAGTAGCGTATCTGGTCAATAGTTTTATTTTTTATTCCTCATTTGACAAGCAGGAGAGGAGAACCACCATAAGTTAGGTGATTTTTATTAAGATTGGATTTAAAATTGTTAACTTTTCAATTAGGTTTTATTATTATTTGATTGCTTTGTAAAAAAATATGTTGTTTTTGTTAATTTTATTATCTTACCTATCCTAACGAAGGTCTGATAAAAGACCAAAACCGGTAGCTCAAAGAGGAAAAAGTTAAAATTATACAGGAAGACATCGTCTTTTTTATTGAATTTTAATATCAGTTTCGTACGACTTTTCGTTTTTGAGCTAGGCCGTTCACTCACACACAGGCCATTTGGCGATACTATGTTATTTGGACTCAGGGGATCTCTAAAAGTTGAAACTCAATACAAACATTTTCACGATTCTATGTATTTCATGTATAGATAGGTAAGTGAAAGTAAAAAAAAAATTCCAAACGGAAGTGTCGCATTTTCTTACCTTCATGATGACACTCAAACGAGTGGATCCATTAAACAATGATGGATGAAATATCTTCTGAATAAAACAAGCATCCTCAGAAACGAAATCGGCCTAATTCAATCCTAATTTAATCTAATTAATTAATTAAATCTCACGGAATCGAGTGCATATTCCACTCGTAGTATCAGTCGCACTCAATTTAAGAGCTTTTTATCTTATCAATGCTTTTGATTCGGCTAAGTTAACTATATTTATAACAGTACTAGTGTGTATAAATAAATTACATAGCTTTTACAGGCTCTGTTGGCATGAGCAACATGAAGGTCGTGACATTTTTAAAGAAATCTATTGAATGCAGGAGGCATAAAGACGTTTCCGTGACTATAATACCACGAGCTTGACGAAGTAAGGGAGACAATATATTTTTTTTTTTTATCATTGACTAGAGAAAAATGCATCCTTCACACATAGTCTGGGCAATGACCCGCGTGCTGACTGCCTCCTGACCTTTTATTCATTCATTCACCCTCTTGCAGAATTCTTCCACGTTTGAACTGTTTGAATATAACCTCCCTTGTAATTGGATATCATTTGTTTAAACGACTGTTTAGTCGAATTAATGCTTATAGAGGAATCTACAGGATGAATGGGGAGGCTGAAGCTCGTATGTTTGATATAGGTTAATTTTCAAATATGTTTCTATGAATTTTGACTTTATTTATCAATAAAAAAATATCGTAAGTTCATGAAAATGACATCCGATCTTTTATAAACCAAAATAGATACAAAACCACAATTTTCTCATTTTACAAGATGAAAATTTATTAAAATTCTTAGAGTTATGAAATGTCACTTAATTACTTCTTGCAATATGGAATTCATGAAGCTTTGAACTAGTAATTTTCTTTTGAAACGTTTCCAAAAATGCTCACGTTTCTTCTCTGGATTGTAAATTACAATACAAATACAAAAAAAAAAAAAAAGAAACAACTGTACTACCGCAACCCAGGAAGAGTTCAATGTTCAATGTTCAAGGTCTTGGGTTCAAGTACTATTTAGGGAAAGTCCTGTTTCTTAGTAAACGGTTATGCAAGGAGGTGTTTTGACTGAGATCACGCTCAATCGCCAGATTTTCCTCCTTAATTAATTATGGGTTCCCAATTTATAGAGAATGGGTGTGCCCCAGGAGGATCTCCTGATCTCAGGGTCGCCCCATGACTGATTTCAAAAAAAAAATTTCCCTGACATAATACAGGATTCGAACCCAGGATCTTGAGTAGTGCCCTAGCTGAGCTACACCACTTCTCTAATGTTCACAAAGACATTTTAAATTGATGTTATGTCCTGATTTCAAAATTTGATCAAATTGTTTATATTTATTATTTTCTGAAAAATAGGTTTAATTTTTTATAATTTAAAACAATCAATACTGGAGAAATAAATCGTGTAAAACATATTTCCAGTTCAGATGGATAAATTCTGATCTCACTTTCTAATATGCAATTTTTTTTTCTTTTTACTTTACATTAAAAACTAAAGTAGATTTAAAATGAAGTTTTCCTATAATATCTGTCAATTTTCATTATGATAAAAAATATATTAATGACACATTTAATATAAAAATTTCAATGAACGTGATAGCTATACATATTAAAGTAAAATTTTAATTAGTGTGACAGTAAATAGGTATGCCTGCATCTAAGATGTTTATTTTCATTACTTTTTTTTTTTTTTTTAGATAATTTTAATTCTATTTTATTCGTTTATTTTCATTCTATTATTACTATTATTTATATTTTCTTTCTTCACTATGATATTTTATTTTGTTCTTTTGTAGCTTTATATTATTTGAAGTTACCTTATTTTTTTTTTTTTTTTATTTGTAAATATGGTGTAAATGTGCTCTCAGAACTCTATTATAAATGTCCTTTATTGGGACAGATTGTAATATTTATCAATAAACAAATAAATAGTAAAAAAAAAAATTAGTGTGATAACATTATACATTATACGGTATTCAAAATAAATCTTCAAAAATGGTTGTCTACTTTGATAAAAAAAAAAACTATTCATGACGTTTGGCGCGACTTGGTATGTTTTGAGTTTTATAAGGATGATTGGAAAATAGAAAATGGATAAGTCCTTACTTGAGAGGTGTCATTCGACGGTTTGTAAGCGTTCATCAAAAGTCACTCCATATTTCAGGTCAAATACGGATACTCATCGCCATTATTTTTGGAATCTCTGAAAAAAGAAAATAGTTTCAGTTTATTTTTGCACGAATTAAAATTAGGTAAAATAAAAATATATATATAGGGCAATGGCGGTGAAGAGCGAGTTGAGAAATGAACAGCTGAAGATTGATTGTTATATTTTTTTTTATTTTAACAATTTAAAAATATATATTATCGTGAAAATATGAGGGTTGAAAAAAGAATTAAAGGGTTAGAACTGATAGGCGTATTTATTTCTACAATTATGCTTTATAAAATAAATTTAAATACATGAACATAAGGATATTATACCTATTTCAACGGAAAAACTACTGATAGTCATAGTAAATATTAATATTTAACAGTTGTTATTCAGATTTGTTTTTACCATAACCCGAGCAGAAAGTATATGAACCTGGAGCGTTTCCTAAATCAAAAACTGTTTCAAGATAAATTAAACATACCTTTTTCAGTAAAGGATGGACGGTTATGTAGTTTTGTCGTTTTTATTTCAAATTTAAAAGGAAAATATTTTTATGTTGGAGTGTATCTTGTTCAATTAGTTACACGTTAATTGTAGCGATTTAGGTAGAATTTTCTAGATTCTGACAAATTTTGTCATGGTTATTAAAACTCATTGATACTATATAAATATTAAAATTTTATAGATCTGTAGCGGCACAGTTTCCGGTATAGTTTCCGCTCTAGCCACATGGTACAACGAATTCGCCTTCCCACTACCAGGCAGTGCTCTACAAGCTCGCCAATGCATTATACCAAAATTGTATCTTTTATTTCTTATTGTTGTATTGTTAAATACTTAAATTGTAAATTGGAATATGTATACACATTTTAAATGCTTTTTATAATAAAGTTTAATGGCGATAGCATATACTGATCAATGCTCAAAAATAAATGTTAATGTAACGGCTCTTGATAGTCGGTTTAGTTTTGGCGGAATGAATACCGCAGTCAAAACTCTTGACTTAAATTGCAATAAATTTGACAGCTCTTGGGACCTCCACCCCTTCAGGGTGTAGACCTTTACGCAGATGGTCAGTATATGTATCATATACGCTTTTGGTTCACCTTAGTCTGCTGTTCTTATTTCACAATATCCTTCTGCCTTCTTCCTCTTCTCTTACTCCATGCAAGTAGGACGCTGATCCGGGCACTTGCAGTCGTATATAAAGTCAGGAGATTGATCCCTCCGTTAGTATTTCATCCTCCCACAAGTAAGGAGACTGATCCTTCTGGTTGTGGTTACCATACTTGCGGAGTGTTAAGGCTGATCCCTTACACCGCAGGCCGGGAGTGATTGGGTGCTGATCCGCCTGTCACTCGAGGTCATCCATCTATTCATCTTCCTACATCCACTTAATCATCTTAACCCTATTTACTGAACATGCACTGTCGATGCCTTCTGGTAACTTGCATACTGCCTCTGCACACACACCTTGACAGATCATTCCTACAATCATTCCGACTTTATAATCAAGGATTTTCCCCAAGTTTAGTCTTTAATGTTGTATCAATAAATAATTTCATAAGATATGCTTGAGATGGTATATAAGATATAGTTATATAATAATTTTGAAATACAGTTAGACACCCGTATGACCGAATGACTGAACATCCAAGGACGATTTTTATTCAAAATAACAAGCGATAAACATATTGAAAACATAAATCAATATTATTAAATATAACAAAAAAAAAATCTCTGGTCTTGATATACTTAATCTTGGTAAAGAATAAGGATGTAAATATTGAATAAGAATACCAGACAATATAGTATTGAAATATCAATAAAAATATCGATATTCCAGGACTAGAAGTCATTTTTAGAAAGAGGGGAACGGAGTGAGCATTGAATTGAAGTCTTAGATTTTTTTTATTAGCTTTAATAGCAAAAAAATAAGGTTTATATATTGGTTTCATAAAATGAAGCAATTTATTACTATTAGACACTAGAAACTAGAAACTAGAAATTATGTTTTATGTAGGTATGTCAGTATTATTTTACTTAACTTATCTTAAAGCTAATTTTATTTTTATTTGTTTTATATACTTAAGATTAGTATTTTGTAGTCACATTAGTTCTATTTTATTTATTTATATTTTTTGTAAATATGGTGTGAAAGAACTCTATTGTGGCTATAACTAATGCCCATATTGTGGCAGATTGTTATATTGCACAATAAAAAAAAAAACGTCTGCCAAGTTATAGCTTCCTCACCTTTTTCATTGGCTAAAATATACCTATATTACAAAGTATACAATTTTTCGTATGAGAATAAAATCTTTGGGAGAAGCCGATTCGGAAATACAGTTACCCTTTAACACTTGCGGGTTTGATATACAAGAATTTCGTTTATCAGCTAATATTAAAATGCGAAAGAGGGCCGTATTTGAAGATTCCATATTGGTTATTCTTGATTAAAAAAAAAAATACCAATGCATACTGAACATGCATTTCGCTACTGAAAGTGCAAAACTTCGTATGTAAAAACTCATTATTTCTTTAGGCTTTATTGGTATAATTTCATATTTTATTGTCTTCTGCTATTTTCCATAGTAGCAGACTACTTAAATCAGTTGCAGACTACAAAATGTCATGATTAGCACAAATAGAATAAAAGTTGAAAATTTTTAAGTACGACCTTTTGCACTAATAGTAGTGATATATACTTAATAGGTACGTTTTCAGTTCGTAAAATGAATGGAACTAAAAAATCCATAGGAAAAATTCAAATCGTTGTTTGTTCGGAGTTAACGAGACCAATACTTTTCTTCAGTCAGAACAAAACTAACTAAGCTTGAATATAAAAATATGGGTGAAGTTCACTCAACTTCTATATCTAAGGAGGAAATCGGTAGTAAGACAAACTGGTTGAACTTCAATGGAAATAAAAACAATCACAAATAAGACGTTTGTTTTTGTTTACACGAAATCTAAGTAACGGCAATAGGTATCATGCCAGTAATTTAGAATCTATCAAACAATACAGCATCAATTAATTTATTTAATAAAACCGAAACTTTTATAAACCCCATAACAATATTGTAATAACCTAACTCCCACTCCATATGATCAGTGCCTTCAATATTTCACAGCCATTATATTGTTAACAATTATTTATATTAATTTTAATTATTAAATGGAATTCAATGAAATTGATAGAAAGTAATGTCTATACTGTTTTCCAAATTTCCTCCAAGTTTGGGTCAAATCGAATGTCCCGTTTTCAAACTACAGGCATATCAATCAAATAACATATTTCCTGATCTAAAAGCGGAAGTATTTTTTTTTTAGAGTAGTAGATAGAATTTGATAAAATTGATGCCTATTTCATTTTACGTTTATCAATCCCTAAATTTCCTCCAAATTTGAGCTAAAACGAACTTGCGGTTTTAGAGATATAGACGTATCAAGGAAAACACGTTTGCATATATATAAGAGAAAGCAATGGGCAGAATTTAATAAAATTGACCCTACGTTATTTTTTCACAAATACCTACCTTTTATTCAACTTTGATACAAATCGAATGAGCGGTTTCTGAAATATTGGCATATCTACAAAAATGCGATTTCGCGAGCATAAGCGAAAGTGCTCCTTATAATTTAATAAAATTGATATGGGACCATCTAGACACCAACCCATACTATTCCTGAAAATTTAATGAAAATTGGATAAACGGTAGTAGATGGTATGCCCGTTGCATCGAATTGACTACAGACAGAACGACAGACAGGCACTGAACCAAATTTGATCCTTGATGTGTGAAACGTAAAACGCGAGTGAAAATTTACGATTCTGAGCACACCATTTTTTTTAACCTCTCTCACGAATACAATGCTTTCCTATCTTCGGTAGTGAGGAAGCAAAATAGAAATAGAAAAAAATCGGTTGAATATTACACACTTTAAAAAAATAATTCAAACGGATGGAAGTAAATCAACATTAAGTGAATAAATGGAACCCTAAAAAAAATTTAACAAGTATTGTTGAAAAGAATTAAATTGGAATTATTAATGACCGAAACTTAAGCAAATAATTTAAATTGCCTTAATAAACAAAAATTAAAGAAAAACTTATTTCTTTGAAAACTAATATTATTTAAGTAACTCACCTGTTTTCAAAGAAATTAAATGAAATTTACAAAGTAAATGTAATGTTTTTAAGTTTGAAAAAAAGTATTTACAATCCACCCAATCAAGGCAATCTGAAAGAGATGTATAAAGCATACGTTTATAACCTTAAACATATTTACTGTAGTTTAATAATTCTAGATCTGATATTATATTTAAATAATTAGGCATCAATAGTTTATTCCGAAAAATCTTCATGTAACTTTTTATAAAATTGAATTAGTAAATAATTTGATGAATTTTTCCTTTGCGAAATCTCAACATTATCACGTCTTTCTCTAAAGCACGTTTAATTTGGTTTATTATAAATAATAACTATTTCTCATTGTTAGGAGTTATGTAAAAATGCTAAATATAACTTTTGAAAGAATTTGTTAATTGAATAATGGAGGAAAAAAAATAAAATATTTATCCAGGCCGTAAATGAATATCCGTAAATAATAGTCAGGAGGTATACATATAATATATAGTTGGAAAGCGGAGAATTAACAAAAACAATATCTAGTATAGAAAGTTGTATAAGGTAACGGAAAGTGACGAAAATAATACTAACAATAATTTCTAAAAACAAACATTAGGAATGAAATGAAAATATCTTACTAAATTTAATCTTTTAAAGTTTGAAAAAGTATTTAAAATCCACGGATTCAAGGCAATGACCTTGTTTAAGATAATATTTCATTGTACTTGTGTGAAAGAAGAAGTGAAATATGAAAATATTTCATGGATATGTTTATAACCTTAAATATATTTACTATAGTTTAATAACTCTAGATCTGATATTATATTTAAATAATTAAGTATCTATCGCCAGTTTATGCCGAGAAATCATCATGTAACCTTTTAGAAAATTAAATTAGTGGATAATTTGATGAATTTT